TTTCAGAACTGGTCTAAGAGGTAGTAATATTTTATATCATTTTCCTTGAAATACACTGTCACTTTTTAATTAGTAGATTCTAATCTTTTTAATAGCTAGAAGGTTTTTTTTTTTTTTGGAGTCTTTCTTGAGAAACATTTGGAACATGTTTTTAACTGCTTATTTTCTCAATGTCTTCAAGAATGACTTTTTTCTTTCATTTGTTATTTTTTCATTTCATAACTATTATTTTCATATTAATTGTTTTGAAATTTTGTTTTTATTTAATTTTCTTTTCTTGTTTAAACTCTGCTTTCAGATTATGTATCACATTTTGCTGCTTCCAATGTGGCTTTGTTTCTCGGTTTCCTCGTGTGTATCTTGATGAATCAGTCATGTTCCATTCTCTGATGTTTTCTTACCCCATATATTCATTCATTCTTCTCCCTTTGTTTTGAATTCTTTTTTTTTTTATAAATGAGAGTTTTAATACAAATAATTAGAATATATTTATACTATGTATAAATCTATACATCAGAAGATAATACTAAAATTTTTTTCTACCACTTATCACCCTAGAATTCTCTTAAAAAAAAAATCACTGAGAATTAGATGATGTCTGTGAAATAGGTTCTCCCATTACAATACTGCTTCTATCATTTAAAGTTTTGACAACAGTTGTAGCTGGGGACTGAAGCACTTTAGGAGAAAGCCTCATCCTTCCATCTGCTGGATCACGTCCGAAGTATTTCACCTGAATTTCTTGGCCAACTTCTAATCCCAGGGCAGTGGGATGTTTAATCTTCCCTTGATCAAGTTGTGTGTTATGAAGTAGAACCGCAGTCATATTTGGATATAGTTTCAACATTACTCCACTGTCTCTGATTTCAGTTATTGTGGCGGTGTATACTGCTCCAAATTCTAATTGCTGCTCCTGATCATCTTTGCAGATTTCAGTAATGAAGTCTCTTGCTTCATGCATAGCACTGGGTGTTGGTGCAAATATAGAAAATGTTTCTTCATCCACCTGACTAATACTTACACCTGTTTCAGCCTGAAGTTTTTTTAGATGATATCCACCTGGTCCAACAAATTTTGCTCGTTTTGATAATGGAACCTGAACAGTTTCTACAACAGGTCCATTTTCTTTTCTAGATGCTCGAGGTTTTGAAATGGTTTTGTTCATAATCTGTAATATCTCTTTCTTTGCCACTGAAGCTAGTTGAATGGCCTCCATTGCAATTTTTATTGGTATTCCAGGTAATTTAATATCAGCCTGGCTCGGCGCCTATAGCTCAACCGGCTAAGGCGCCAGCCACGTACACCTAAGGTGGCGGGTTCGAATCCC